AAGGAGAGTGTGTGAGTTTATTTGTTTTATTTGTCGTATATAAATATTATATTCTTAAAAAAACCAATCAACAAACACATAAGTTAATACTAACATAGGGGTTTTTTTACCCAAATGTTTACCTGGTAAGTGCTTACCAATAGAAGTCAACACTATAAGTGCTTACCTGGGTAAGAGTCGTCATCCTCCCTTACTGGATAAGACTCTTCATCATTTTCATCACTCTTACCTGGTAAGATTCCTGGTCTTTCTCATGTTCATCCGATGAGAAAATTTATGCGTTAAGTACTAAGCACTTTACCAAGTAAGTGTTTAGTAAACGGCCCCATAATAGACATTACCTTTTGCAATGTCGTTGTCCTTTAATACATCATCACGGTCATCTACAAATTGGTTTTCTCGACTTTCTCACCCAATCTTGGGTGCAAACCACAGTCTCAACCATGAAAGGTGACAAATTTGTTCTATATTGGTATAGTACACGACCGCTCATGCAAAGCGTCGACTCAGATACTACGGTGTAAATTTGTATTGCCAAAATATCTAACAAAAATACAAGATTCAATAAAGAATAATATTGTAAAACATAAACAATGATAACGTAAAACGTAAATAATAATTTACCTCTGGGGGGAGACGGGTTTTCTGTTATGTGCGGTTTTTTGAATTCAAATGTAAAAGGTATGAATTCATTTAGGAATAGATGATCAGTTAGAAGATAGAGATGGAATTGGAATAGTCAAAATGCCCCTTGAGTTTCCTGGTCCAGTACCGTGTTTTCGGTGTAATCATGGTACCGAATACCGAAACCCGAAATTCACGGATTATTGAGACCGAATACTGGAACTCCCATTAAGAAAAAAATGGAACCTCCAAACTTCGTTGACCTTCCGGCAATGGGCAGGCGTCAACCTGACCCAAAGGGAAGGGCCTTTCCGTCTGTTTGATAAGGATTGAGTGACATTTACCGAATCGAATATGAGAATTCAGTATCGGGTTCAGAACAATTGTTTTAGAATATATATTTAATTTAAATAAAAGTAAACTGTAATTTTGGTCCCTTAGGTTTTGTGAAATATTTGAAAGTGGGACCTGAACTTTGAAAAGTTTAGAAGACATCCTTATGATTCTCATTTTGTTCTAAAAACGGTCCCTGGTCACTAACTTCATTAACATCTCCGTTAGAGTGAGGAGCGGTTTAATTTTTTTTACCTATTTTTTAAAATATCTTTAAAAAATATAAATATATAATTTATATATTATTCCTTAAACTACATATTATATTTTTTAAATTCATATACCACATTTATATATTGTTTATACTATTATTATATATATACATATATTATATAAATTAACAAACAATATATCAATTAATATATAAATTTAAAAAACAATAATAAATTAAGGAAATATAATATATATAATTTAAAAAACAATATATCAATTAATATATAAATTTAAAAAATACATATTTAAATTAATATATAAATTTAAAAAACAATATATCAATTAATATATAAATTTAAAAAATACATATTATAATTTCTAGATTAATCAAAGTTCAGGTCCCACTTCAAATATTTTGTTAAACTTCGGGGTTGTTTGGTAGTTGTTGAATGATTTGGTGCAAAATGATTAAGTGGTCAGAATGATTAAGATGCTTTCATGATACAATGCAAAATGAAATATAATTGTTTACAATGAAATTAAGACGTTGAATGGTTAAGGGGGGCCCAAGATACATCAGGAGATTTTAGAATTATTAAGAGACAGATTTTTTTTTATCAAACAAGATTCACCTTTTAACGATTCAAATGTTATATTTTAATGAAATCATTAAGAAGTAAACAAACAACCCATTTATAAACCAAAATTATAATTTACTATAATAATAATAATAATAATAATAATAATAATAATAATAATAATAATAATAATAAAAAATCAAAATTGTTTCAATGGGTATATACGTTCATACCACCACAAAGAGTAGTAACCTCACAATCTCATATACTTCAAACACGTTTAAAATACCTTTAATCATTTCGATTTTTCGTTGACTTTTATTTAATTTGGTTAAATCGAATAACAGACGTAGGGATCATTTGAGACCAGTTTGTTTTCGCGAAATTCGTAATACCATTTTTTTACATTTGAAATTTCATAACAAAATGCTTTGAAGGTAACATTCACAGGTTTTTGCTATGAAAGTTTGGCTTTTTTTTTAATCTTTACAACATTTTGCTGTGAAAGTTTGGCTTTTTTTTTATCTTTACAACATTTTGCTATGAAGTTTCAAGTATACAAAAGTAGTCTCACGAAAACAGGCTGGCCTCACGTGAACCCAACCCTCGGATAACATATTCTACTTATATTTTATATATTTCATTTTTTTAAAAATTAAAGCCAAATAAACATTATACTGTTATTATTTTAACGTATTTTATTGTTATATGACGTTTTTTTCTTGATGGTTGATTTTGTTTTGTGTTATGTTTTTTAACTGATGTAATCCATCGCATTTCAATTGCTAGATATCGGTTTTTGGTAGGTCATTATTTTTACTTGATACAAGTCAGACGTTGAGTATAAATGTATGATTCAATTATATATTTAGAAGTAACGGCTAGTGGATTTGGGAAATTTATTGAACGGAAGTTATGAATTCTTATTCGGTTTAACCAGTTATCGAACCGAATAACCAAAAAACCGACCAAACCGGACTTTTTTTGATCAAATTACTCGAAAATGGTCGAGTAAGCAAGCGATCATTCTAATCCCACAAAACGGTAATAATTAATCTCAAGTAGGAAAAAACCATATAAAATTTTAACGACAGTTGGGTAATATGAAGCAAAATATAAGAGAGGTAAATCACGTATCCCACGACAGTTGGGTAATATGAAGCAAAATATAAGGGGCCGTTTACCAAACATTTACCCGGTAAGCGCTTACCGGTAAAATTTAACACTGTCATTTACTTATCGGGTAAGATTTTAGTCCACTAAAACAGTATCATATGCAACAATTTACCCAGTAAGCGCTTACCGTGATAAGAGTCGTCGCCCTCACTTACCGTGTAAGACTCTTGATCCTTGTCTCGTTCTTACCAGGTAAGATTCTTGGTCTTTACTATATTCATCCGGTAAGATAATATGACTTAATGTTCACTTACCTGAGTAAGTGTTTGGTAAACGAACCATAAAACAAATTATAGAAAAATGAAGCAAAAGCATAATAAAGTGAAGGAGGTCAACAAACTTGCTCATGCTTCAAGCAATGGTTGGTTTGGTGACACTTCTCCATTTTTATATTTGGGCACTAAAAAATGAGTTCATTAGATAGATAAGTCTTGGAACTAAAGAAAATCGTTGGATCGTAAAAATCGGTTAAACCAAATTAAATAGGATCGTTTTTTTTGCAGTTCAGAGGGTTTAACAGTGTCATTTGGCAGTTTAACCGACCTGACTGCGTATTTACACATACATATATTACTATAACTTTTCAGTATAATTCATAGTTATATACTTATATTTATGCTTTTGAGTTCATAATTTCATGATTTTGATTTAAAGATGATGATCAAGTAATGTTTTGCTTGCATTTTTTAAGTTGGTTTAGTTAATAGTTTAAAGCCCGTTACAAGGCCAGAACTGTGTAGACGGATCAAACCAGACCGTGTTTTTGTGGTTCAATTTGGTTGTCGTTGTCACTTCAGGCAAAACCTACTGGTAAAGTTATTCATTTGTCACTGGTTCGAGTCCTACAATGCCATTGGGGATTTCCTTGGCTGTTCTCTAGACACCTGGATTAGCCGAGGTGAACACAAGCTGGACCGGACACCCACGATTAACAAAGAAAAGGATATTCATTTGTGTGAGCCACGGTTACATTCTCGACCACAAAAAAACAAAGAGCCACGGTGCAGTTATTTCGCACTTGGCTAATGACGGAATAAACTTACTTTTAAGACCCTATTTGTTAACATAAGTAGTTCTCTCGAACAAGATTGAATTAGAAACAGTTATCAACTAAATAGTTGTTTGATTGTTTGTCCATTAACTCTGTTATAGATTAAGCTGTTTGAATGGAATAAACTAAGTTGTTTGCTTGTTGAGCTAAATAAATTGTTTGAATAACAAAAATGACTATTTTACCCCTCCGTCTAAATTGAATGTTGTTTGTACCTTTATATTGATGCCGCATAGAGACGACTTGAAGAGGGGCTTGGTTTTTTGGGTGGGTGTAAAGAGTGAGCGGAGGAGGCAATGACGAGGATGCAATCACCATTATAACAAGCGATGGAGAGAGCAGGGAGGAATACGGGTCGATTTAAGAGAGTGGCATGAGATGGAATTTCATGGCTTAATAGATGCAACCAAGGTCACACGGTTGAGTGAATAAGCTACTGGCTTACCCAATAAGCCACAACCAAACACTCTTATATGGATTAGCGAATAAACCATACAAGTTATTCAGCTCATTAAGCCAATACCAAACAACATTAAAGGTTTGTATGTTAGCAGCTTAATAGGCTTAATGGAACTCACAGCTTATACAGTCAGTTATACATGACTGTTTGGTATTGGCTTGATGATATAGAGAGTGGCTTATTCAGTAAGCTTTTAAGAGGAGTTTTATGCAGAAAGCCAAGTTTTTCCCAAAATTCCCCGTCTCAATTAAAAAACACACTCCTTCCATTTATATAAAAAAAAACCTTCCGACACAAAAACCTTCTCAATCTATACAAACAGATTAATACACACACAGCTTTATCCATACAGGACTTGATGGAAAACCAACCAAATAACAAAAAAAGATGCATACTGCTATGGTTAAAAGATTTTCTATGGAGTTGCTTCTCCTCAAATGGTTTACACAAAAAGCAAGATGTGTGTGTGTGTGTGTGTGTGTGAGAGAGAGAGAGAGGAAGAGATTTTAAGCAAAAGCAATGGAGGGTACAAAAGGGAATTGAAGTTGGAGAATGCAACAAATATAGAAAGATCAAGTGTGGTGGTATTAGACAACCAACTGCAGGTGCAAAAATTGAAAACAAAATGAAGAACTTAGCAACCATTGGAAGTGGTGCATCTGTGGATGAAAATGATGAAGAAGAGATTTCAAAGCTCGCTTTTGCGTCGTTTCAGGCCAGAGAAGAAGAGATCGAGAAGAAGAAAATGCAGGTCAAGGAGAAGGTCGAGTTGAAACTCGGCCGAGCAGAAGAAGAAACCAGACGTTTGGCTCAAGTTTGGGAAGTAAGCCACCACGAAACTAACATTCTTGTGAAAATACAAAAACAAACACTACATTTTGCAAGAATGAGGTTTCGAATTTAAACAATTTCCCATAATTTTTGCAACATTTCTCATTCTTGCAAACTATATAGCATTATTTTCGGCATTTCAGTATAAATGATGGTCGGGGTTGGGTTCCGGTGAGAATGAAAGTTATGGTGAGAAGAGTAAGAAGGGATCTCCACTAACTAGATACACTAGATCAATTCTCATCTAAAGCACAATTCATGGGTTGTTTTGGGATTAAAAGTGATCAAAGGTCCAAATCTCTTCTTACACTTCTCACCTTAACTCCTATTCTCACACGATCCTTCATCATGATGGTAGATGGTTCAAAGAGTCGAGCATTCCTATTAAATCACAAATATGAAACATAATGTGTTTCGATTATCTAAAGATCTCTTGTTCTACGTCTATAAAAACATATCAGGAGCTTGAAGTTTTGACGGATCCAATGAGGAAAGAAGTAGCAACAGTACGAAAGAAGATAGATGTGGCTAACCGTGAGGTGAGATCACTGGGACAAAGCTGCCAGAAGAAGGTAAGAACTTATGTCGGGCCCGCCTTCATTGGTATATCTATAATCAACAGTAAAAAACATCAATATGGATAATGTCACATGAAAACAGGAGAAAGAATATAAAGAAGCAATGGAGGCTTTCCATCAAAAGAACAACGAAAAGAATCAACTAACCGCCACGTTAGTGGAGGTAAATCCAATAACGAATTCCCTAAGTCCCACCAACACTTTCAAGTTAATTTTAGCAATTTAGAGGGAGGTTAAGGGGAAAAACCCCAAAAAATGAAAAACTGAGAAACACTCTGATAACCATTCATGTGGACAGTATGCACATGTGCATACACATAAGTGGAGCTGTTTCTTTGTTTTTATGTAACATGTGCATGCCGGACAAATTGCTACAAGTTACTTGTATGCATGTGTGCATACCGTCCGGATGAAAGGTTACAAGGATGTTCCTCAATTTTTCATTTTTTTGCGGTTTTCCTCTAAACCTGACCCTAGCAATTTATTATGATTTTTTTGTTCTCATTTCACAATTGATGTTGTCGTTTACATTTTCCAGTTGGTGAAAGAAAGTGAGCAAGTCAGGATGAAGAAACTAGAGGAACTCAGCAAGAACATAGATCCTTCATGCTGATTATCTACATTTTACGAATGATATGAATTGACTTATCTCATTTATCTTCTCTGCTCACAATTTTATCTTGTCTAATAAGTGAAATTTGTTAAGCCTTCAATGTTTCTGTCTTCCTACATAAATGATTCAGTTATGATTCACGATTTGAGAATTTTTCTTCATAGATTACTTGATTGTATGCCTCATGCAATCCGTTGATCAGTTTTACATTCGTGGGATTGTTAAAATGCAGTAGAAAAGAAGCAATTCTAAAAGCAAGAAACGATAATGCATTGCTATATGAGAAAAAGTGAACTCTGCTTTAAACACTTTGATAAGACGGTTAAAGGAAACTCACAAAGCAATTTGGAAAATTGTTCTATACAGATCCCTTAATGTCCTTAATCCAGAGGAAGCTGTTTGTACTCTGTTAACAGATTCGGGATATCGCTCATGCGTAGCTGAATGTTGAAACGAGATCAAGTCAAAACATTACAAGTATGAAGACACACAAAAGATATGTCGTAGAAAATTCACCCTTCATCAAATACGACTTAAAAGGAGTAGCAATAACAAGGTCTTTGATGCTCAAAGTAGTCCTAAATTATGTCATCGATTTGGAAATTTTGATTTTGTAAAGGGGTTCAATTTGTTTAAAGATAACAATCACTTTCCGTTCACTTACAAGAAAAAAACAGAAACAGGTTCTGGTAAAAAAAAGAGGAGAATGGGAGAGAAGAGATTTATAATGCTCAAGATAAATAGCTTCATAAAGTATAGCATCCAGAGAGTGGAAAAGAAATAAGTTGAATAAAATCTAATCTACGCATGCATTACCTGAGAAGCGTTTGTAATGTGAAAAAACCGATAAGTATCCTTCTCTGAGAAGCCAGATTCGGCAGACTGTAAATTAGATCCAAATTCCGCTCTGCCATAGTTAAAAGGTTTACTTATAATTAACACATGTACAGATGAAACCAGCCACCAAATTAAAAAATAAGCATAAAGTTCATGCGCACAAGTTCACAATTTAAATGATATGTAATGATTGATAACAGGGTTCTCTGGTGGGAGATGGCTAATATTTGGAGCGAGTAAATTGCTGTATCTTTCGTTCTCTCTTCAGAATAACTTCCCTTTATAATACGACAGTAGGCACTAGCAGTTACCTTCCTTTCGTATGTTAACTCCTATTCATAATGAACTCAATCAGATGCTGCTATGGAATTCTTTCTATGATGTCTATCTGCTCTCAATCTCTCATCCCTTGATACTTGCCAGCCAGAAATCATTCACCTTTTTCTTTGAGGAGCGCTCAATTAACCAAGATGAAGAAGCTGATGCATTTCCCCAGGAAGAAAAGACGGTTCTTCCACCTAGCAAACTCAATGTAGTTTATCCTCGAAACCCTTGTCAAATTTTGAAAAATAGGTGTTGTGTATGGGCAACAGAGCTAAACATGATCACACGTGTTGGACTTGGCAGGATACCCACCTCAGGGCAAAACAACATGCCCACTTTCAGTTGAACAAGACCAAAATCTATTGGGGTTTTAGTCTTTTCGCTTGAGGAAACCCTCCTACATGATTCCCAAACCCGCTCCCCCTCCCCATAATCCACCTCTCACTCTTTTCTAAACAACCACTCCTGTAATTCCACCAGAAACTTCTCCAGTAACATCAGCAACCTATAACCTATGATACTTCAATCCAAAAATCCTCGAATTTGATACTTCTCAAATTGGAACTTCAAATATCAATGATAACTACATGGGGAGATTGCAGGTTAGGGCATAGAAAAAAGGAACAATCAAAGGAAATTGCAGCCTTCTGGATAGGAACTGGCCAATCCATGGGTGCACCTTGAAGTTGCATTTGCTGTATATCAAGGGTTGTAAAACCTCCAGGGGGACAGACTAGTTCATCAAAATTCTCTTGTTCTATCTATGTTGTGTGTGCACCACGTTGAAAGAGAGAGATAAAGATGGAGCATGAATTGATATGTAGAAGAAGTAGGGAGAGCAGCATTCCCTTTGTTTCTTCGATTGGATGCACAGACTTAAGGATCAAATGTGAGATTTTTGGAACTTCTATCAGAACTACAATTATAAATAACGGGTTTTTTTCCTATTTGAGCAAAACTCAGTGAAATCTTTGAATTATATTCAAACCCTTCTTTTAAATGCATGACAGATTTTATGTTATCCCAGCTTGACTTGGTAAAGGTTTATGTGAATGAGACGACTATTGTTTTAACAGGATTAAATCTATAAACTTGGTCAGATGATTTTAATGCAACTTCTCATCATTCTCAGTTCACATAGTCGTGGAAGAAATGATGATCAAAGCCACCAGCATAACATCACAAGAACATGGTGGTGCTAGTTGTCAAGAGGGATAATAACTTCAAATTTTCCATTTCCTATCACGATCAAGCCTAGCTTATTTGAAAGCACAGCCACCCTCTAAATCAGTAAATGAAGGATGAATATATGCAGGTTCATAGCAAGGGTAAAGTTTTAACCAGTTCAACTCAGTCAATCTGAAAAGATAATGGCTTGGTTGGTTTGATCCAGTTGATCTAGTCATACCTATTCAAATAACCTCATTCAAACTTCAAAATCAGAACCCATGCCTATTCATGTTAAATATTCATAACTTATCATGAGACAGCTGTTGAACGGAAGACCATAGATCTTAGACTACTTCAAGCTAGTTGGTGCAACTAGTAGAATTGTATCCTTACAAATGATGACGACTAATCAGGCGTTGGTAGTCACGCAGCAACAGGCCGATCTCCTTCAGAGGTATTGATTTTGGGGTCGAGTTCCGCCAATGCTCACGGAGTGCTTGAGCTGCCTGCATTAGTCACATGTTCCAGTTGCTTAAGCTTAATGTCTACACATGTGTGTATTACAAACAGACGAAGGTCAAAAAATGCAAATTGCCAACATATTTAACCTCTTTATTACTAAATGTTCTATTCCTAATCATTCTTGATGCTAGTTCAAGAAATTCTTTATCTTCAGATTCATGAACAATTTGAAGACCATGACCAGAAAATGAAACAGAAATATCAAATCTCTTTTGTAGCTCGGAGATGGCTGATCCTTCCTCGTGGTTTTCCTGAAAGCACAATGGAAAGCCAAACTAAGTGCTGCTTTTTACATCCGAACTTCCTAATTGAGAGTTTATAACATCATTTTGTAAAACCCAAAAGCATGTTTTATTAAGCATGAATCAGAAGATGGATATACATCAAAGCTAATATATTAAAACCTTTGTTTCGGATCGGAAGTCATTAGCCATGGATGCATCTTGACTTTCATGAATTACTTTTGATGGAGATGCAGACAATCGATTTGAAATAGGATCATCTACGAGTTCAAGCATAAAATCCATCTCAGGTCAGCTCCTTATCAAAGTTGATCAAGTACATGAAACATATTAACACTTAAATGATCCTTGAGAACTTGGATTTCTGTAATCAAAAAACTTTATTACATATTCTGCTTTTGTCCATATTAAATCAAAATAATGTCTTTAACAAAAATTTGAAGATCTGCATGCACCCAATTTGGATTAAACTAAAAACTAAAGTTGAAATTGTAGAAAGTCTTCCACCAGAACACAGTTCCAACCAAACAATAACTGGAGTAATGACAAACATTTTAGCGACTCCCAAAGAGCTAAACTCATCGGTAGATAATAAATATATCTGGTTGAAAGAAGGTCATTTGCAACCCCTCAAAGTGTAAAACAACACACTACTTCGAAATATAAAACATCACAGGAAGAAAGCTAACCAATACCTTCTGGAACTAACCACCATAAATCACCATAAGTCACTTTCCCATCAAAGCCACCAAATAACAGATAACGTGAGCCAATACATGTCATGGAGTGATAAGCACGCGCAGAAGGAGCTTCAATGTTAGTTGCAAGGCGTCTCCACTGCACAGACACTGATAATAAAAACAATAACCCAACAGACCACAAAATTAATGCATATATTATTTTTTTAAGTAGTCATGATGTAATGCAATAAGCCTAAATCGTGTTAATCAGATCTCTATAGATGATCCATGCCCATAGGTAGCTGACTGAAAACTGCTGCCAGCTCATTAAAGACCATTGATTGGCTAACGGATGAATTTACACAGCCTATCAACCCCGATAGCACATAGGGGTGGTTTGGGGGATTTTCATTAAGGCTTGTATGGACAAGATTGTCTGTATAGATTGATAAAGTTTTTGTTTAGGAGGATTTTTCATAGACGAAAGGAGCGTATTTTTTAACTGCGAGGGGTATATTTGAATTTTTTTGGCTTTTTGCATAAAGCTCCACCTAGAAGCTTACTGTATAAGCCACTGTCTATATCATTAAGCAACTGCCAAATAGTCATGTATAGCTGACAGAATAAGCTGCAAGTCTCATTAAGCTGCTAACAAACAGGCCCATAGTTTGGTCCGCTGTAATAAGGGCCACATAGGATGAAGTAACCTTATTGTAGAGGTTTATTGATGGCTAGAGGCAAGGTTTTAAAAGACGGAAACTCGAGGTGAGGCGTTTTTCCTTAGTTACCACGAGGCATAAGCCTCCAGGCATGAGCCTCAACAGTACATATATAAACTAATCAGAAAATTAAAAACCATCCCACTTAGACAAGCTGTCGATTTTCGTGATCCCTTTTTTGGTTCGGTTCTAACCCACTAAATAGCACTTTTGGAAGCCTATCCCACACATAAGCCCCTGCTATGTCCACTTAGTAGGCACTACATGTTTGTGTGGGAAATGCCTTCCACACAAACTATCTATCATGTGGGATTCCAACGATTAGATCTGAGACACACACAAAAGGTAGGGTAGGTCAGGCTACAAAAAAAATGAGGGAAGCCCTTAGAAAACCACTTGAAATAATCATCTCCAACATAATCCTTTAGATGCATGGGAAGATAGTCCCCAAGAGCTCACACTAGGGAGCAGATAAAGATTGAAAACCAGTGACTAAGGAAAAGTGAAGCTAGACAGATTTAACCAATTTAAGTACAATATAGTGCGGGAATCCCACTTCGGTTAGTCATGGACCAAATCCACCCGTATATATGTAGGATTCTCCTAGCTCTAAGGGCTCTTTTAGAGAGAGAATCAAGGGGTTCCACATATTCTAACATGGTGTCTAGCACCTCTTGGGGGTCACCACACAATCTAGCCTAGTCTGCGTTCAAGGGGAGTGTTGGAGTCCCACATTGGCTAGTCATGGACCAAACCCACCTGTATATATGTTGGATTCTCCCCTCTGTCTATAGGGCTCTTTCTGGAACTTGTTTCTCTTCCAAGACATCTCATGGCTTGGTTTTTGCTCCTTTATTTCTTGCTGTTATTGTATAAGTCAATATGTGAACTGCCATTTATTTTCTTTGGCTTTTGAAGTTTATGTTTAGCTGCTATATCCATTATGGAAAAAAAATAGAAACATCTTCAACCTTTTAATTTGTCTTTAGTCTAAAATCAGGAACTGTGCCTGGAGAAAATTTGGTCAAAGCCAGTCCAAACAAAGAGAGCTTTGAAAGATTTGACCAATTACATAGTCCTACCAGAAAAGCAGCGACATGTTATCCCAGCCAGACATGACAAGGACAGGACCACTGATAGAAGTCCTGACTTGTAAGATGTTTAAAGGAACAATGAAATGCCAGATAGATCTAGATCCACGAAAGCAGCCAAAGCAAAGCAAAGGAAATAGATACTTGAGAATATGTCGAGCATCTTATGTGAAAACCACTCACCCCTGTCTAAAACAACACAGTCATTGTAATAAACATCGTAGCGACTCAACCAACCCCCAGTTCCATGGCCTCCGAACATGAGAAGCTGAAAAATATACAATTTGTTAAGAACCATGTTAGTAAAGTTTGAAATTTAAAGAATATTAGTTATATTCAATTTATTAGCATGCAGCCAAAGGTGACTCCCTAAGATGTTCACTAGAAACATAGATGCGTCTTGTGTAGCTTTATTGTACGTAATATAGATCATGAGATAATGTTTTCTTGTCAAAAGCAAAAATGTGCAACTTATGATAGTAAACCTGCATTGATTCTAGATTCAAAGCTATGTTTCAGTAATGCTATAAAGTTTAATAAGGGTGTGGTGTGTAATATATGAACATCAGGACAGTGATTCAGAAAGGTGGAGAAAATCAATGGTTATGTCTGAATCTGCATTCTCATGTAACTGGACTTTTCTCATGTGGTGTGTCATGTGCTCAATCAAGGTATCACTTATGAAAAGTCTAGTTACACAAGAATGCAGATTCAGACATAACCATTGGTTTTCTCCACCTACGGAAATCTAGTTTTCATAATTGATTTGCATGTAAAGCTTGAGTGCCAACTGCCACGGATCTGGCCTGTTTTTTCATTATTATACGAGTCACCTACAATCCACTGATTATGGATCATCAAGCTAATATGAACTCACCAGCCACCATCCTCAATAAATTTTTCAAAATGTTTATTCAAACGCGTAATGGAACATACCTCTGTTTCTCTAATAGTTGTCCCTTGAATAAGCAGCCTTGCTAAAGTAGCCCATTTTTTGTTTCTTAATTCTTATCCTACCTTAATTCTAAATACAAAAATATTTTAGTTCAGCATACATTTTGAGACCATTTTTATTGTGAAGGTTATGATAGTCTATGAAGGAATTAATGGATTGTCTTTAATAGATGTTATTTGTGAACAAGCAAAAATAGAAGCAAGAGAATCATTAGGCAAGGAATGAAAAAAAATTATGGCCTGAGAGAAGAGAATGGCACTAACATAGTGGCCTCCAGAAGTAACAGTATGGCCACAGCGGGAAGAAGGAGCTTGGCCAGGGAGCTTCAGTTGGGTCCATCCAGGAGCTTCATTATCTTCCTTGCACAAGCAATTCAGAAAGAAACTAATTAGTTAGAGTAAAAGCATTAATATGCTTGGAAAGCTTATTTTACTCAAAATTAGCAAATTTACACTTGAACCAAGTATACACTGATACACAAAAATGCTAATTAATTAGAACTGGAGAAAAAGAAAAAAAAGATATGCAGGGTTAATATTTAACAACCACATATATTTCCTAGTAGTTGAAGTCCTCACTAGAGATGACAAAACCTTACTGAAGAACACCTCAAAGAGGCCAATCAATTATCTTATGAGCTTCAGGAACTACTGTATATCAGGCTAAAACTACATGTTAAGATATGCATCAAACTTATGGGCCCACATTACTGTTTACTCTCTTGTAGGGTAGTGAAGTGCCACCACCTTTTTTGGGGTCCACCGGCTGCAACAGGAGTTTGGTACTTGCATCATCAAGGTTACACCATATGCAAACCTCTTACTGGTAGGGTGTGAAACCTTGACCTTCATTATTATTCTTTTTGCCTCAAAAGTTTTTTCCACGGCTCACCAGATACCATTTTCCCAACTTAGTTTTCACATAAATTTTCATGTGTTCATTATTTCTATTCGTCTCAGCATGTTGCCTTCAGTATGTTTTGGTGCCTGATTCTGGAGTCGGGATGTGATATACAGATTTGATTTAAGTGCAAAAGAAAACATGTATGAATTGTGTATAAGTGTAATCACAGGTTGATTTTTAAATATTAGCTTAAGCATCCACATTTGCACTTTGATATAAGTGTGACGATACTTGTTGCAAACTTTAGTCGACCATTCCTTATGCAACCTAGAAAGTTTTCAAAAGAGGGCAAAGTCATCAAATGTGACGGCAGATATACCTTCCTCAATGAGACCCTTCAACGCCCATAAATCACCCATGATTGGTCCTCCGCCTCCTGAAAAAATTGACAGAAACACCATCCATATCATACAGAATCCCAGAAATAAATAAACAGTTGACAGAAGTTAATATTAAGATCATACTATCACTCTCAACACTGTATTTATGCCCAGCATCACCGCCCACAGTGGATCAATTTTGGGTTTTCCATTGAATTGTGCTGCACATCTTACTTTTTTCTCCCTCCTGAATATATCAGTTTTCCCATCTATTTTGTAGTAGATTAATGCATTTGTGATTTGTCTTCAAGAAGCAAATGTAACATAATCTTAAGATGCACTCATATTGATTGCAACTATTTTGGATGTAATAAGAAAATATTTTCTTTTCAATCATAGGCAATGCACATCAAGAAGAGGATGAGATGCAAATACTTCTTTTATCAATCACATGTAAATCCACAAGCTGCAATTATGCGGGTGGATGTTAACTGTGGCCCACAAGTCGATCAAGCAAATTACAGATGTTGTATGTGTTATATCTCTTAATTAAAACAACAACAAAAAACGCATTCTACTTTTAAATGATTGATATCACTTTATTTAAGCTCAAGTTTTCCCCTTGTACCCCTGATAATATATTTTAATATCCTGGTCTACAATTTGATCTACTGTTGTGTATGTACTGATATACACATCTGGTCCACAGACAAAGTTCTCACACTCGAATTTGAGTCAGCTGCAAAGTCTAGAAATAAATGAATTACAAAACAAGAGAAATACAGGCTGCTTGGCATCTGTTGTTGGAAACTCGTGCTGACGAACTTCATGTGAAGGATGGTAGGGCACGATGTTAAAAGTGTAAAAGGTCATGATACTGCTATTCTCTTAAGGAAAGGGGTATGTAGTAGGTCAAGTCAAAAGAATGTTTATAGATTACGACACCAACCTACATGGTTCCTAAACACCACCAGTAGTTATCCTAGTATGAAGTAAATAAAAGAAAATAAGGAATTTAATACATAGCTCAAATGGAAAAAGGAAAGGGAGATATTATTGCAAGCCAGGGTTGTTAATTCTATTGTCTAATTACATGTATCTCATGCTTGTTTAAAGAAAAAGCTTTAAACAAGGCTAGATAAGCTGATCACTGTGTGTAAGAATATTTATTTTTCAAGTTCCAAGATATCCACTGATACATAGTAAAATATTGGAATACATCAGGGAGGAGTGTTCAAAATTGTAATATACTTCAGTCATCAATTATAGTTAAAAGAATCAAACGTCAACTGGAGAGAAATTAATAGATAAAATGGTATGCAAGGGCGGAAGATATATCTCACCTCTGCCACCATATACAAGCAATCGCTTCTCAACCATAGTGGCTGTATGGCCGCACCGTGGTGGTGGCAATGTTCCTGTAACTGCTAACTCTGTCCACTCCAGTGAGACTGTTTAAAAAGCATAAAGTATATCTTAATGAGTCAATATAATCATCATAATAGTAACATGTGACTGAAAGAAAAAGGACAAGATTTGCAAGGGAAAACTTTACTTGTATCCAAGACAAATACATCGGACAACCACTTCTTACCATCCCAGCCTCCATACCTATGGTAAGCATGCAAGTGCCATTGATATTAGCATCTACATATGGCGTAAAAGAGAGAGCGAACGACAAGAACTAAGAAGCAACTAGGGAGTAATGGGTGTAGCAATTCTGACATTACTATTTTATGGTTCCCAATAGCTGAAGCAGCTGCAAAATCTCTTGGCGAAGGTAAATCACCGAAACTGGTAAGCTCCGACCATTGCCATATGTCTGAACATGGAATTCAAAGCAAACGGAAAACTTGTCACGAAATTTGGAGATCTTCAGAGAAAAATGAACTGCAAATGATAGTTGATGAGTAAAAAGCTTTGTGGTTCAAATACTTCACCAGTGTCTAGGACCCAAAAGTCTCCCAACCTGCAGGTTGAGTATCTTTGTCAATAACTTGTGAGTAAGCAGTTGAAATATTGGCCAAAAGCACTGTTATTAACCATAGGTTGATCGTTGAACAACCTCTTGGTACCAAGTCTCCCACCAAAAACGAACATATGACAATCGATTGAAATGGCAATATGAAATGCTCGAGGACTGGGCCCCGTTTGCCCTTCTGAACCACTACCAGTGCACTCAGGCTGAAACCATAGCTTATTCTCTGAAACATTAAAAGAAAGAAATTTAAAACAAACAATTTTACTGGTCCACTATTTGACAGTGCATCCACAACTATCAAACAAATTTTAATGCAGCCTCAAGTCCACAAACCAAAATTTCTCAGAAAACCTTCTTACCCATTTCATTATTTTATTTGTCTATTGTTGTAATAAGAGCTTCCATGCTTCAAATTCATATAAATTTTAAGTTGCATGCCAACATATTGACAATCACAGATATAAAGCCAGATTATGCCCCCGAACACTTATGATATGTTATGAACATATACTCAATGCCATCACAAGATGAACTTCATATGTATTTGCAATACACTTGCCATATCATTTTTCCAGTATAAAAAATCATGCATCATATAAATCATATCAATTGCATTTAACTGATGTACTTAAAAATCCCACTCTTTGCAAGTTCCACGACAGGACTACTACATGCATGATGCATCTGAAATCAGCATTACAACTGATGTCTAGCATTAGTCTTTTCCCTTGTCACGTGATAAACAACATTACAATAATTTATCTGTTGATGACAAAAATCATGGTATAGAAGTCTATTGGCTAAGAAACCAGCATTTTTTGTTGGTTACAAAAAACGAGTAAATATTATATCCAGTTTCAATGTTCATACCAAGTTCACCATAAGCATGTTATCAATTGTACTATGATTTAATGAATTTCATAACTTAATTCCTCATCTGCTGAGGCTCATAAAACAGTATCTTTATGGTAATATCTGACGTTTTTATAAAAGTTACAATGCTAATGAAAACTACTAAAAGTCTTTTAGCTTGACCAGGGAAATCTCTTATTAGAAACCAATATTGTTAACATTAGAAGGTGAATAACAGCAAACTTGACACTCAAAAAGTGAATGCATTAGCTAAATAACCTAACATCTTTGCACCATAAATCTTCAAGATACAACTCCCCCAAGTACTCCATCTGAATACAGAAACAGGGTGCCACTTCAGTTTTAGTTTCTTTCATAAAAGAGTTACACTGCTAATTAAACTATGACTTCCCCATTTCACCATGGGTTATACAAAAGCAACAGGCTTATTGATGGACATGGCGAGATTTTGGCAGGGTATAACAATAAGCATAACAATATTACCAAAATTCACAAGTCAAACATTTCACATTTGTATCCTTTTTCCTTTCCCATACGAAAGGTGTATATATCAACTATACATAAAGCAGATGACTATTAATCTGCCATGAAACATACAGACTACTGGCAACATCCAATTACACAAAATTTGGAGTACTGATTTACAAATGAAAATTTGAGAATTAAGCATGATGATAACCATGAACTCAACATTGAAAATCAATAGATTGACTCTGTCTAAAAAAATTCGTTAATTTGTGGATAATTAAATCAATAATCAAAGAAAAGAAATACCGATGTCATATACAGAGATGTCATTGAGGAATTTCTTATCTACAAGACCACCAAACACTATGATCTTTGACTTCCCAATATTGACTGCGGTGTGGCCACTGCGATCATGAACAAAATACACGATTCAGCTTCAATAAATTCATCCAAACAAGAAGAAAACCTTGATATCATAGAATTTGAAGAACAGATTGATGGTTTTACCTTCGAGGTTGAGGATGAGGTCCACCAAAATCACTCGGTGAGGCTCGAACCCAGTAATGCATTGCTGCGTTGCTCCTCTGTCTATCGGAGATCCGGAAAATTTCGAGAATCGGGGCTTGAACCGGGTTTTATACAACTACAAGATCGTATTAATCTATGAAACCGAGTCAACTCATTACAAGTATATTTATATTTATTTTATTTTTAAAAAATTAATTAATTTTTAGTCAAAAGTTTAAACGAGAAGAGTAGAGAACTCAAAAATCGTCAAATTATATATAAAATCATATATGATTTGAATAAACGGCAAATGTAAAGGTCTGCAGTGACCTGGCCCGACCTTAGGTTGTAGTCAAAATCATGTGAATCACATGCGATTTTACACCTATGCTGTTAATTGTGACGATATCTCAGATAGCAGATATTAGCAAAATAGCGGAGGTCAGATTGCGGTAGCGCAATTGACCGCAATTTTGACCGGTATTTAGGGTCAATTGCGTTCGATGTTAGCGTTACTTTTTGGAGAGGTTGGGACTTTATTTTCAGTCTCTGTTTTTAGATAGTTATGCTTTATTTCAGTCTTTCTTTTTTTGGGCTTTATTTCCGGCCTCTATTTTTTAGCCTAAACGAATAAGTGATCATACTAGATGATGGTGACGCTAAATCTATTGCTTACAATTAGCTCGTTTTTTAATATTTTTCCTATTTTACAACTGATATGTTTATGTAGGCATATTATATATAATTCTAAGAAATATTATACGAACTGCCATACTGTTGTACCACTGCTATAACCGTTATTTCAAATATCGGTCCCGACCGCAATTTTGTATTTTCACCACTATAACAGTATAGTTTTACATGTGAATTTGGTATAAAATCACATGTAATTTGATTGTTTTCGTGTTATCTTATTTAGTAATTGTTCTCGTTTGAACCCAACCCGTATATGTGTTTCAAAACCAAAAATTCTATAAAGGGTCACACAGTTGAGGGTTAATAATGTTTTCAACGTCATGTTTATAGGTTAAAAAAGATGACAGATGAGTTATTAGAATCTGGAAAAACCTTTTTGCTTACATTTTATTCACAAATACAATGACTTCACGAAAACATTCGTTATGCCATTTCTTTTAGAAGTGTATAATATTTATATACGTCAAATGCAATAAATAAACTCACACACCCTCTTCATCCTTGGTGAGGTTTAAACCCTGACCTCCTAGGAGACCAAGGACTACGTTACCGCTAGACCAAATGCCCTTTCGGTTCGTTCTGCCATTTTGTTAGATGACCATTTTGTAATGTAATGATTATAAAAACACATGTATGTATTTTGCTATAATTATATGTGTAGAGATGGGTTCAAGCGAGTAAATCACAATTTTATGAAAACGCAAGAACACCGTTTACTATAATCAATCACATGTCAAACCAATAAGCAAACGTTGTTAAGATATCCTGTGTACCATATAACTAATAACCAAAGGAAAGTCAAACAGATACAATTAATGGTAATCATTGAAAATGAAAGTGTTTGTTGGGTTTTTCCAAACACACACACATAATATATAACTAATAACCAAATGATTTTTCATGAGACCCGTAAGACTAATTCTTAATCATTGGATTAGATCTACAATATGACAATTTGAACATTCATAAATGCCACGAGACTTTCTCAATAATTACAAAATTACTATCGTGCAACTTTAAATCATTAGCTTATAAAGTTGATCAATGAACATAAACTGGTTTTACAGGTCTCATGAAAAACTTTTGGTCTTACGTGAACCCAAATATATATATATATATATATATATATATATAACAAACCAATCTCATTCATCAATTTTCTCCATCAATGATCAATATTAAATGAGTTTATATTAGAAAATAAAAAAATAAAAGTTTAATTTTTAATTAAAAAGACCAAGTTTGTCAAATCCCCAACAATAAATTAGGTATATCCTAATAACTACTGTTAATTATGAAAATATATTAATAGAAACGTTTCATATGGAATGAATTAAATCTTTTTTCTTAATATAATTTTTTTGTCATTAATATTTTTTATTATTTTATTAAATAATACTTATTAAAATATGAATTGTAAAAGCAGTAGAATATGAAATATATCTTCGTTTCATTGAAAAAATATATGTACATTGAGTAATGAAACGAATATCATGTTCAATAGTGACCATGAACACAATTTTACTAATGAATTTAATTTGTTAATATTTCAAAACGTTTTATGCATGAAAAACGTTTATTAAATTAAAAAATAATCAGTTTTCAAAATGTTTCATTAATTCTTTAAAAATGTTTTATTCTTTATATGTTTCATCGTTTATTAGGATTTCTCTTGTTTTAAAATTATTTTGATTAAAAATTATTAACAGTTCAATACTAATTCAATAACCGTTAATGAAATAGTTTGCAATTATCGTTCAACACTACATGACAATCGGTCCGTCTTTCATTGTAGGTGACAAGGAGTCGCCTGGGTTCGTTCTATAAAAGGGTGAAACAGTTTCATTTATTGTCATCTACAACGAATTAGGTATATTCTAATAAATTATGAAAGATAAAACATGCTATAATCAAAAAAAAATAATGAAACATTTTGAATACTGAAACAAATATTTTGTTTAATTAAATCAAGAAATGAAATTATTTCATTATATTTTGTTTCAATACTAATTCAATAATTGTTAATGAAACTGTTTCATTAAATCAAGAAATGGAACTGTTTTCAAGAAATGAACGAACACAGATTTCATATTTTACTGCTTTTACAATTCATATTTTAATAAGTATAATTTAATAAAATAATAAAAAAAATTATATTAAGAAATTTTTTTTATTTCATTCCATATGAAACGTTTCCATTAATACATTTCCATAATTAACAGTAGTTATTACCTTTCAATATTAATCAATATATGATGAAATGTCCATTATACCCTTATTTATTAAAATCAAATAATGAAAACGGAATTTTCCCAATGGTCGAAAGTGGTTTGTATAGTTTTCACGAATTGAACGGTTTGCAACGTAACCCGCTTCTTTCTCTATGTTGGGTTTCAGTGACAAGAGAAGTTATATGGAGAAACGTAAGAAGAGATTTCATGTGAAAATTAATCCCACTTGAATGTCAAGTACACCAAGAAACACCAGATCAATTCTCTTTTAAAGTACAGTTCATAGGTAGATATGTAATTAAAATACACACTTGATTTATATTCCGTACAAAGTAATGAATAAAGACATCACTCTTTGTGTAGAACCCAATGGTAACCCTTTTGACTTTTAGCCAACACAGAACCTTCCTCCTCTTGTTCGATACCATCTCCTCGAAGCTCACTGTCACTACACCAACAAATCCAACGCCTTTCTTCATTAGGGTTCTCAATCCTCAATGGAAATCACCTCTTGAGGTAACTAATCCCATTTTTCAAACTTATTTGCTGCTTAATTTCTCTCTCTCTTTGTTGTTCTTAACTCGATCACTTTGATTTCGATTCTTTTTTATTTTTCAGTCGATCTTTTGTTCTAATTCCTGTAATCAAGGGTTCTGAAAAAGATGCCTGAATTTGGCTGCTTAGATCCAAACGTGTGTGATTGATTTTGTGATGTTGTTCATTGAATTTGCCCTGATTTTAGATTGTTTTGTTTTTGTGAGTTCAAACTTTAGATTGGTTGGTGATGACTTCAGATGTTTGAGGGTTAGCTTTTATTATTTTATATAAGTTGGTTAATTGTCCTTGATTTTGATCAAATGAATCTTGAAGTTTTAACTCATTAATTGGATTTATCATGATTAAAAAGTATGTAGATTGAAGTAGTTTTAAGTTTTAATGGCCACAACGACATGAATGGTAAGTGTTGTGAAGTGAAATCATCCAAATGGTGTTTGGCTCAACCGTGCTGATCGAGTCTCCGCAGCCCTTAGGTTATGAGTATGAGCATCTTTGGAATTATGTATGTGTGAGTTTCTCAAGAAAAATGTTAGATATGTTAGTGTTTTGGCGATCTAGCATCCTTACATGATTACACCAGTGTAGAAGGATAATTAATGCAATTGTTGCTTGCTACAATACTTTATGGGAGGTTTATGCTTCCGGTCATCACTTTTCTAGTTTCCCTTTGTGCTTGTAGTTGCGAGAATATTGTATTGTAACACATGTTTATAGGGGATTATGCTTCTCTATGGTTGTCAGAATAAGATTGATCAGCTAGTCATCAGCATATACGAGCACCACAAATAAACATTGCTAGTGGCAAGAATGAACATGAAATAATTAGCTCAAGAACCAATAAGTCCATGTTGTAGTAAGGAGGCCTCAACTTTTGGAACCATGCTTGAGGAGATGTATTTGGATGAAAGTTTGGTGAAGGGGTAGTATAGGTAATTAGATATTAAGTCTTTTTGGGGGTAAAGTTGGGTTCATAGTTGAGGTTTGCATGGTGATAACAGTTTAAGGCTAAGTGTCATGTTTTGTTGCAAATCTAGCATTGAGGCTTTGAAGTGAAGTGAGGGTTCCAGGGCTGAACATTTGGTCGTTTGGTGGTTTGTCAAGTACACTAGGTGATGGAGAGTTGCGTTATATGAAAATGGAAACATAAGTTGAATTTGCTTGATCCATGTAAATATGATCAATTGCATTCTGAGTTTCGAGTCGATGATCAATAGTCAAAACGCATAAGGAGACGACGCACCTCGTCAACAATGGGTGGGTTTATCTGCTCTGTTGTGAAAAGAAGCAACAGAGGCATTATACTCACGACCAAGTCCTCCAAGAAGATGTGTGTGTGTGTGTATATATAAAAGGTGATCTTCGGTTGATAAAGGTTCTCCAGTGGCTGCAAGATTGTTGCAAATACTTTTCAATTTTTGACCGTAGGTAGCAATAGAGAGACCTTGTTTTTTTCAGGGTTTTAAGTGAGATCCATAGCTCTGTTACTCTAGCCATCGAAGATGCTGAGTAAACTTTTGCAAGAGATTTCCTTATTTCCAGAGCAGTAAAGTAAGAAATGATCTAGGTAAGCATTGATTAGAACAGATCCAAATCATAATAAGCCGGTTGTATCAATGCCACGTAGTGAATTCTCAGTTAATTTGAGTGGATAAGAAAGTGGGGAATTTGGGTGGTTGAGGTGTTGATCCATCAATATAGGCTTCCAAGCCTTGAGAGGTGATCACATTGAGCAATTGCTTCTTCCTAATAAGATAATTGGTGGGGTCTAAATTCATACTTATTTTGTGGTGCTCATATATGTTGATGACCAGCTGATTAATCATAGTCTGTCAACCATAGAGAAGCATAATCCCCTAAAAACACGTGTTACAATAATTCTCTACAACAATTACAAGCATAAAAGGAAACTAGAAAAATGATAAACTAGAAGCATAAACGTCCCATAAAGTATTGTAGCAAAGCAACAGTTGCATTAATTATTCCGTCTACACTGGTGTAATCACCTAAGAATGCTAGATCGCTAGAAACATTAACATGTCGAACATTTATTTCGAGAAACTCACATACACATGCTTCCAGAGATGCTCACACTCACAACCTAAGGGTTGCGGAGACTCAATCAGCACCATTGAGACAAACACCACTTGAAATGTCAAACATTTAAACAATAGCTCGTTCTAGGTGATATCACTAACCCCACAATGTAATTGTTTTCATTATTCATTTTTGTATCCTGCTTGAATAATTATGATAATAGTATATATTTTGTTAATTGGGTAACAACACACACACATACACCCACCCACCCTAGCCTGTGTCCATTTTTTTTTTGATTAACCTGGATATCCAACCCATGCGAGCCGACTAATCCCAGGGCGACCACCCTAGCCTTTGTCAATTTGGTTGCCTTCCATCCTAGAATCTCAATTTACTTTAACTTAGGCTGGGATTCGTTCTGTAAAATCAGTATTTAACCTGAATTTGAGTCTAGTTAGACAATTAACTCACCGTTGAGCTAATTAGTCTGGTCTAAATTCCTTTTAGGATGGAAGGAGTTGGAGAGAGTGGGTATGTGTAAGTTGATGTTTTTATTTTTGATTTTATATATATATATGTGTGTGTGTGTGTGTGTGTGTATTTCACTTAATAGTATTTTCAATTAAACTGTCAAATTATCAATTCTTCTTCAAAATTGAGAATTATGTCAATTTTAGGCCTTGTTTGTTTTTTGAACATAAGCTCTTATCGGCCTCTTATGTCTGAATCGGTAAGAGGTAGGGCCATTCAAACGGTTTGTTTTTTCCAAGTTTTCAAAGGCACTTATGTTTTACTGTCCTTTTATCTGGTAAGAGGTAAATCGACCCCTTATTTGCCTCTTATTATTCTCCAGACCCTTAACAACGGGGGTTTCTCAATCACTCCTCTCTCAATTGATTAACCCCTCTCTCAGTTGATTAACCTTAAAATTGTATAAATGTATATAAATTCAACATTATAATATTTTGAAGGGTAAAATAGACAATTATATAGATTTAGACATCTATCAGTTTACAAAAACAAACAGTCTTATTGATTCTGCTTTCAAACTTCAGCCCTACCTCTTATCAATCAGAAGTGAAATAAGACTTCAGACGTCAGCACCTCGTAGAAAACAAACAACACCTTAGAGTTGGAAAAGTAGCCTCTTTGACCTAGAAGTCAAAGCACACCTGCTTTCTTGCAATGGAGGTAGTGCTATTTATGAAAAACATTGACATGCTGTAGTGTTATATTTGACCCTAATAACCATCAGCTAACGTCTTTGTCCATTTCTGAGAAATGAAGCTTAACTGGACACTTGGCTTTGGGTAAACCCTTAAAATCCCATTCGTGGAACAGGACAGTTTAAAAGTTTTTTAGTTTTAATTTCAGTACGATATACCTACTGATTCTCACCAGTTTGTACTTCTATGAATGATCTCGGAAGTGATCTGTTTGCTCCAAAGGTTCATGATCCTCACTCTTTCCCATATCGATGTACCAGGAATAAGAACATCATGGAGGAATCAACTGCCAAGACAATTACTTTTCTTCGGGCACGATTGCTCGCCGAAAGATCCGTCTCAAGAACAGCAAAGCAACGAGCTAATGAACTGGCAAAAAGGGTTGGATTCCTATCTAATTTGATGCTCGAAAACATGTATGCACTTGCATACGTATATCACCACAACAAAGTTGGCTTTATAGGACACCTAGAATGTCCAAGTGTCCTAATAGAATATTTTATAGAACACAAGTTTATAGGACCAAATTATATAGCGTCCTATCTAAAAGTGGTACAATAGGTTCATAGGACACTTTTAGGCGTTTTAAGCCTTTTAGGACGCTTTTAAAACAAAGTGTCCTATTAGCTATTTTACCCATCTTTATATAGGACACTTTTTCAAATAATGTCATATAAGATAAGCTAATAGGACACTTTATTTTTAAAAGCATCCTAAAAAGCTTGTTAAAATGCCTAAAAGCGTCCTATAAACCTATCGTAATGCTTTTAGATATGATGCTTTATAGTTTGGTCTTATAAATTTATGTTCTATAAAGTATTCTATTAGGACGCTTAACATTTTAGGCATCCTTTTTAGCCAATTTTGTTTTAGTGATAGAAACATAATTTATTTCTTTTGCCTTTTCTTTCCACCTCAAATAATCTTCTATGCTACTCAATTAGAATCTTATAGTGTTCGTTTGCACTTCATAACTTCTATCAAAGGTATCGGAGTTGGAAAAGCAGCTGAAGTTTGTATCCCTGCAAAGAAAGAAGGCAGAGAAGGCAACGGTAGACGTTCTTGCTATTTTAGAGAACCATGGGAGAAACGACCTTTCTGAACCGTTTGATTCAAGCTCGGATCAAGAAGAAATGTCGAGTGATTTCAAGGATGGTAAGCATGTTGAAACATCCAAAAATGTGAAAGTTCCGGAAAGTGATACAGAAGGATTCTCGGGTTCTGAGGTTGAATCTTCTTCGGTGAATGGTAGAAGCTTGTCTTGGAAAAGCAGTAAAAATTCATCGTCTCGGTTTCTTGAAAAGTACATGGATGCTTCTAGAAGAAGGCGTAATAGTTTTGCGTCAACTGGTTCGTCACCGAGGCGTGTTGGTAAATCATGTCGCCAGATAAGACACAAAGAACATAGGTGAGCTTTCGTTCTCGTCTATACTTGATTCATCGCTCTTGTTCTGTTTTTGATTTTGTTTGGTTGGTTTTCCATTAAGTCCTGTATGGATAAAGTTATCCGTGTGTATTAATTTGTCTGTATAGATTGGGAAGGTTTTTGTTTGGGAGGAGTTTTTCATAGATGGAAAGAGCGTGTTTTTTAATTGAGAGGGCTAAGGTTTGGAAAAAAACTTGGCTTTTTGTATAAAGCTCCCTTAAAAGCTTACTGAATAAGCTGCTTTCTATATCATTCAACCACTACCAAACAATCATATATAGCTTACCGAATAAGTTGTGAGTCCCATTAAGCCTATTAAGCTGCTAACAAACAAACCCTTCCTTCTCTAAAATGTGGGATTTTCTGTTTGAACTTTTGAAAACATCAAATGATCCAAAATTTGCTCATGGATTTGGAGCTTTCTATTTGAGAGACACAGAGGGATCTCATGTGCGTGTTTATGGGAAATTGTCCAAAATAGCCATTTTTGACCTCCCAATTCACTTTATAGCCATTATTCTACATAATTAACTGAAATAGCCAAGATTTCGCAAGTAGCACTTTGACAACTTTCTAGATCCACTTTTTCTGAATATTCATAAACTAGCCATTCCGCAAGTCGCTAAAATGCTACATGGAAATGCCACCTACACAACTTGCTAAAGTTGTTAAAGTGCTACTTGCCACATTAGCATTTCGGAAGTACCACTTTAGCAACTTGCTAAAAGGTTACCTTATGAATATTATATTCATAAAAAGTAGACATCACAAGTTGCTAAAGTGCTACTTGCGAAATCTTGGCTATTTTGGTCAATTAAGTAGAAAAACGGCTATAAAATGGTTGGGGTCAAACTTGCTAATTTGCAACTTGAATTTTTGATAGATATTGGAGTAAATTGTAAAATTTTACCAACAAATACTAGAAATAGAATAACATGTTGAGCTTGTATTCCTAAAACAAATCCATGTTCATATGAATATGAATATAAAAGCAATAGGTTTGACCTCAAAAAGTCTAACATCTCTTTTTCTCTTGGAACATATGGAATATAATTGTATTAAAGTTGATTACATTGTATTGCCAGGTCAGCAGCTGACAGGTCACAGAATGATGCGACTAATGCTCATCATGAAGATGAAGGGCGAACGAGTTCAGAAGGTGTTCAAAATTCCGCCGATGTTGCAACTGAGACTTCAATAGAAGAACACAACATTTATGAGGAGAAAGATCCACCGGAAATATCCACTTCTTTGTGTAACGGCCATATTTCACAAAATAATGGAACGGAAAGAGACATGGAACGAGCGTTGGAACATCAAGCTCAATTCATCGCACAATATGAAGCAGAGGAAAAAGCACAAAGAGATTGGGAGGATAAGTTTAGAGAGAATAATGGGTCAACACCGGTACGTTCTCTCATTACTTTTTTTGAGATATATAAAATAGGGTCGGATTCAGGGGCAAACCGTAAAAAAACGAAAAACTAAGGAACACCTTGGTAACCATTCATCTGGACCGTATGCAAGAAGCAACTTCAGTTATTTGTATGCAAATGTGCATACCGTCCAGATGAACAGTTTGTTGGGTGTTTTTCAGTTTTTTTTTTGGGGGTATTATTCTGAACCTCCCTTATATAAAATATTTATAAATGACAAAACTAACACACACTCTCTACCTTTGGTGAGTCTTGAACCCTCGACCTCCATGGAGATTGGAATCTACGGCCCATTGACCATTTTATGTTCATGAATATGCTTAGGACTCGTGTGACCCTGGGACCCACTCAGATGTAACAGAAGAAAGAGACGAAATTAAGACTCCACCTCCCAGCCCGGCTCCACCTTGCTCTGATGACAAATTTACCCCTGGAGGGCAAGAAACTGAGGTTGGTGTAGTTGATGCCAACTTCATAGAAGAACCCAAAATCGACACTGAACCCTTACTGGATCAGACGGATAGTGACTTGAAAACTAAAGTGTTGGATGATCGGAATTATCCACCCGACTTGCAGGGTACCCCTGGAAATGTCAGCCGAGTGCAGGCATCTTCTTCTGGAGATTGTAGCTTGTTGTGTAGAGAAGAACGAGCTTCAGATGAGTCATATGAACCCACTCTCGGAACTCAGGAAAATCCCGATCGTTTAGGATCTGTCCTTGAGGCACTTCAACAGGCAAAACTATCACTAAAACAGAACCTCAACAAATTTCCGTTATTAGAAAGCGGACCTCCCGTTCCCACGATTCCCACTTATAGATCTGGAGACAAATTTCCATTATTAGAAAGCGGACCTTCTGTTCCAACTTATAAATCTAGGGACAAATTTCCCATTCCGTCTAGCCCTGCTGGCCTTTTCAGGTTGCCAACTGATTACGAATATGGAGGAGCAACAACTCGAGCTAACTCATTGACTTATGATTCTAGATTAAGTTTGACTAATTATCCAACCGACCCTTCTGGTGGTCAATTTATCTCCAGCCCTTATCGGGAATCCGGTTCTAGATCAGCCGAAGGCAGTCAACTTATTTCCAGCCCATATCAGGAACCCCTTTCTAGATCAGCTGCTTCTCTTGATGATCGGTTTCGCATGGTACCCACCTTCCCGTACCAAGAAACCAGGCTAGAAACTCCAACACAACCCCCATCGGCCTTTAATCCAAGATCCGATATGCCGCCATCTGTCCTTGATCCAAGATTTTCCGTGTACCCATCTACGCTTGATTCAAGATTATCTTTGCAACCGTCGGCAACTGATCCGCGATCATATGTGCCACCATCTATCCTTGATCCAAGATCATCTTTGCGACCATCAGCAACTGATCCAAGATTGGATGCAAGTATGAGGCAGTCTGCCTATGATCCAAGATTGGATGCGGGTATGGGGAGGTCTGCATATGATCCAAGATTGGATGCGGGTATGGGGCGGTCTGCGCATGATCCAAAGGATGCGGGTATGGGGAGGTNGGATGCGGGTATGGGGAGGTCTGCATATGATCCAAGATTGGATGCGGGTATGGGGCGGTCTGCGCATGATCCAAAGGATGCGGGTATGGGGAGGTCTGCATATGATCCAAGATTGGATGCGGGTATGGGGCGGTCTGCGCATGATCCAANCGGTCTGCCTATGATCCAAGATCGGATGCGGGTATGGGACGGTCTGCCTATGATCCAAGATCGGATGCGGGTATGGGGCCGCCTGCCTCAGGGATGCCCTCTTCTAGTATATATCGAAGAATTCCTAGTTCTCTTCCGGGGGGCAACATACCTCTTCGAACCCGCTCGTTGTACAATGATTATAGCAGACCGAATATGTGAGAGTAAGATTGGCATGAAAAACAGGTTAGTTGTATAGTTTTTTATATGTTATTTGGTGGTTAAGAAAAGGTGGGTTTTTTTGGTATTGTATCAACAAATCAATTATATACCGTATACTTGTACCATCGCGAAAGAGATCCGGGTTTGGTGTTTGTAGATTTGACCGTGTGTCGATCAGTCCTGAAATCGTTTCGAGTCTTGAACACAAATGTGAAATTAGTATGTGTAAGTTATACAATCCATGTTGATCCTTCTGTTCTTTTTTGGGTAACCCATGGATTTCTGGGTCAGTTTACATGCACCGACTAATCCCTTGAGCGACCAAATAACCTGAAGTCATTGCAGGGGAACCTTCATGGCCACAAAGTAATCCTTCCGTTGTTGCATCACATGTTATTGGTTTTTATGTTACAAGTATTTTTATTTAAATTGATAGAAACCTACCATGAATAGTAAGAATTTCTTTTTGCCTTTGATCGTGTTGCTCGGTTGGTAAAAAAGCAGAACGACTTTACTCGAATGCACAACAGGTTCAAGTTTGAATCGTACTGGATTATGGGCGGACCCGATGTGGTGGCATGGATGGCACGTGCCACCGTATTATTTCGCGGCCGAAGGATAAAAAATTTAAGTTTGTTAACGGTGCTACCGTATCGTTTTAGAAGGTGCTACCGTATCGTTTTAGAAGGTGTTACCGTATTTCCCTGCAATCCAAATGGTGCAACTAAAACCCAAACAAAACAAAACCCAAATAACCAAAACCATACTTTTTGTAATTATTTTTGGGTATATATTGACTGTTTTCAAAAGATGAAGACGCGTCGGGTACAAGTTTAGGAGTTGTTTATCGGTACTTAGGGCTGTAAACGAACCGAACGAACATGAACGGAGGCTTGTTCATGTTCGTTCGTTTAACTTAACTGAACAAACGAACGAACACGAACGATAAACGAACGAAAATCTTTGTGTTCGTGTTCGTTCGTTTAGAAATAAGGTGTGTTCATGTTCGTTTATGTTCGTTCGTAAACATGCTAAACGAACGGGCTAAACGAACATAAATAAATATTATTTGGATTCAAAGTAAATAAATAAAAGATAATATATTAAACTTAATACAAAATGAACATAAACAAACGAATATAAACGAGCGTAAACGAACGGTAAATGAATGAACGAGATTCTTGTTCATGTTCGTTTGTTTAACTAAACGAACAAAAAAAAAAGTAGTTCATGTTCGTTCATTTATTAAATAAACGAACATAAACGAACTTCCTACCGAACGGTTCGCTGAACGTTCGGTTCGTTTACAGCCCTATCGATACTATAAAAACCATATTTTTTGTAATTAATTTTAGATGTATATTATACTATATTAATTATATGGTGCCACCGTTTGAAAATTTTTTTGGGTCCATCCCTGTACTGGATACTGGCTTGAACTCTTCTGTTAGGCTCAATTATGAGTTAGCTCTGAAATGTCTCCTCACATATGGTTTCTAGAAAGCGGGTTTCGTATATGACAGGTTGAGGTTGGAGTTCCTGGTGATCAACCTTTTTACTGGAAAAATAGTTGAAAGAGTTTTATAGAAATTAATGGAAACCAACAGAAGCTTCTTAAAAGTTAGTAGACAAGTTCTAGAAGAGTGATTTTTTGGAAGAAAATAAAAGTACATTATTTGTTTAATACTCCATTCTTTCTAAAATAAATGTCCACCATAAATAATTGCATAATATTTAAAAATGCTTTAAATAACAAAAGGACGGTCTTGCCCTTTATTGTAGATAGAGAAATTTTATTCATCTCATAATTAATGTTTTGTTCTCGAATCTTGCAATGAAAGAAAAGAAGGCAAGGAAGGACAAAAAATGAATCTTCTTATTTGCGTTATTGAGAGTAAACATGGCCAAAAACTGGTTGCAGGCTGCGCCGGGTCGGGCCTAAATCAGTTCTAGACTGAAACAGTAACAATCTAGACCGGTCCTGTCGAAAATACTAAGGCCCGGTTAAGGGTACTTGCAAGTTGCAACCGGTTACGGAAATAAAGAGAGAGAAGAAATAATTTTTTATGTTCTTGAGTGAGAGAGAAGGGAAAAGAAAGATGTCATTTTTACAAATATACCCTTATTTATTTTATAATGAAACATAACTGATGGGTATATCTAGAATTTAAAAATTCTTTTCTCTTCTTTTTCCTTTCCTCCCATGTTCAGAAGGAAAAAAAAAAAATCAATATTATTTTCCTTTTTACTTCTTTGAAAAACTCGACAACACAATATTTCCCCCCCCCCCTTTTTTTATCATTTCCTTTGTAAAAACAACTCAAAAATACAGCGTACAGATAAAATTAAAAAAACAGATATTTATTTTTAAAAGTGAACACTTATTTTAAACATATAAAAAAAAATACAGAGACTTATTTTGAAAAATATGGAGTTTTAGGAAATTAATGTGTTACCAAAAAAAGACACTTTCTTTAAGCCATTAACTCCTTGCATTAAATGTGTCCTCTCAACCTCCATTTCAAATTCACATCTCTCATTTAATTATATCGGCTTTTAAAATAAAAATATAGTTTTTATTTGAGTAAATTGTATGAAAAAGTAACGTATTTTAACTTGATTTTTATTTTGGGTAATATAAATTTAAAATTTTCATTTTGGTATCTAAAATGTAAAGTTTTAAACATTTAAGTACTCAGGTAACCGATTGAAGCATTAATCGATTTTCATGCTGATGTGGTATCCAACTCAGTATTATTTGCTGACGTGGTTAGTGACATAAATTTTTTTAATCTAAAATTAGTTTTCAACCGGTTACCTGGCTACTTAAATGCTTTTAACTTTACATTTTAAGTAATAAAATGGAAGTTTTGAAAGTACGTTACCTAAAATAGGAATCAAGTTAAAGTATGTTACTTTTTTCATTCAAATTTCCCTTTTTATTTTTAATAAATAAATATTTTAAAGAATTGGTTCCCCATGAGAAATAGAGTTAAGGTGAAAAGCGTAAAAAATGATTTTCATCCTTAAATGCACATTAAGATGAGATGCTCTAAGATGCACCAGATTAATCCCCATATTAAAACGTGATTTATGGGTGAGTTTGAGATCAAAGTTGGTCAACGGTCCAGATCATTTCTTATGCTTCTCGCCTTAACTCCATCTCTCATACGATTTTTCACCTATTTTAAAGTGGATAAGGCCTATAATCGATGGACGTTATAAGGTTTGGGTTTTTAGGCATTCTCCTCAGAGGGCACCAATTCGAGTCTTATAAGATCACTGGAGATTTTTTCCACTGTTTTTCAAAGTCCCAAAAATTAGTCGAAGTAACAAAATCAACTTCCAGAGAAGTTATTGGAGGGATCTTTCCTATCAAAATTGTTTGTTATTGGATATACCTATGCTACTAGGCGAAATAGTAGAATGTTGCACCCTAGATGACGAAACCGACACACGGGGGTAGGTAGAGAATACGTAGGAGCATCGAGACAACTAATACTTGTACTTGCTCTGCTATTTTGCCCCATCTTCACTGAGGAAGAGTTCGTTAATCCATGAACAAGATCAATACATCTCGATCGGAAAATAATCAATTATATATATATATATATATATATATATAGAGAGAGAGAGAGAGAGAGAGAGAGAGAGAGAGAGAAAGCGAGCTTAGTTCAAATGTTAATCCAAATTATTGTGTTAACTTTATAACCTTTTAGAGCAATCACAATCAATCTTAGTATTAGGTTCTTCAGTATCTAAGAAATTAATGTTAAGGGTATATGGATAAATTTTTTTTCTATATTATTAATTGAGAGTTACAAGATCCATAAAATCTCATGATTTTTGCATTTTTAATATTATCTTGTGATTTTTTTAATTTTTTAATATTGATCTTCCATTTTTAATATCTATAAATTTGTGATTGGTGGAGGAGATCTGCTAGTAAAATGTTTGTTATCGTTCAAACAATTATGGATAATGACATTGGAAAACAACACGACAACATTGAGAAGGTTAAAATTGTTTATGGTGACAATCGGAGTTCGAGATTGGAAAGTGAAGTAAAAAAAATCAAACCGAGTGTCTTGGTAATTATAAACACAAATTGAGATATATAAACACTTGTGTCAATTACGAACACAAATTGAACATATATGTGAACACTTGTGGCAATTATGAACACAAATTGAACATATATGAACACAAATTGAACACTTGTGACAATTATGAACACAAATTGAACATATATGTGAACAATTGTGACAATTATGAACACAAATTGAACATATATGAACACTTGTGACAATTATGAACACAAATTGAACATATATGTGAACACTTGTGGCAATTATGAACACAAACTCAACATATATGAACATGCGTAACAATATGAACACAAATTAAACATATATGAACATGTTTGACTACTTTATAAATAACAAAATTTTGAAGTTACGACTTTTTACAATAACAATTTCAAAAAATGTTCATAAAATTGTTTGGTCGCTAACGTTTATTACTTTCAATAGTTTTCATCCCTCAACTTTGTTTTAATAGATTTTCCCCGATGTTTGTCAATTGCCAACAAATTTCATCCCTCAGTTTGACGACGTTAACTTTTCCGTTAAATCAAGTTTAATGAGAGGTATTTTAGTCATTTTCTATACTTTCTTGATTTTTATTACAATTAAAAAAATAGGCAATATTAGCTAACATATCTATACTATATTATAAAACATTTGACAAAAATTATTAAAAATCAGTTTTTAATGCAAGAACTACTGTTTATTGATGCACATTACTTAAATACCAAGATTACAAGTAAATTGTACATAAATACAACTTGTTAAAACTTAATGTTTGAATTCGTGTAACTAACTGCGGATAAACATAATCAAATACATGATAAACATCTCATTTTAAATATAAAAAATCTAAAATATAATAAGATAATCATTAAAAAGTGGTAAGTATTTGAGAAGTAAAGAAATAATCATAATCTTTCATCTGGTCAAGATTTGCGGTTTCGACTGTGAAACATCGGATAATTCCTCGCATGGTATGCGGAGGATGTAGTTTCATAATTTTTACAAATAGACGGCAAAACAAATGCATATGTAAACCCGTGTGATTCACATATGAACAAATTCACTGATTCATATATGAACTATAAGTTCACATATGTATTTGTTTGCCTCTGTTTGTAAAAGTTACGAAACCAACCCTCTATTTTTTGTTTGATCCGTTAAAGTCGTAAATTTTGACCAGTCAAATGCACAATTCTTGACCTACATTGATAGTATGAAGGACTATAATCACTTTTTTACTTTTCAAATACTCACTTCTCAAAATATATCTTTCCCTATATATACACATAGTCATAGGTTATTTTGAGAAGTAGTAGATATTTGAAAAGTAAAGAAGTGATCTTAACCCTTCATACGATCAAGATCTGATTTGATTAGTTAAAATTTGCGGCTATACGAGAAATAGAAGGGATAGTTTCATAATTTTTACAAATAGGTGACAAACGAATTCGTATGTGAATCCTTGTGATTCACATATGAACTAATCAACCGATTCATATGAACCTGTAGATTCATACGTGAATCAGTTAAATAGTTCACATGTGAACCAACAAACAGGTTCACATATGAATATATAGTTCAAATGTGAATCACGCAGGTTCACATATGAGTCCGTGTGCAACTTATTTGTAAAAGTTTCAAAACCACCCTCTATACTTCACATACCCATGCAAGGAAGCATCCGATACATCACAATCAAAACTACATATATAAACCAGATAAAAAAATAGAATCACTTTTTTACTTCTTAAATATTTACGTCTGGTTTATTCTATGTATGTTCTGACATTTGAAACCATTGATATAGCGGATATGTATATATATATATATATATATTGATTATGTTCTGACATTTGTTACTGTTACCATAAGTTTCCATGCTGTTTTAATTTAATGAAGCTTTCAACTACACCTCCCTCAACTTCAACACATATCCCCTACCTACTAACGCTTTTTCACACCCTCACATTTATTATACATATATATACATACATACATACATACATACTCTCATATATATATATATATAGTTTGTTTCAAATACAACMWWTYGCATTTGTACAACCAATGCAACTCAATAAATTGAGATATTTATGGAAATGATGAGAGTTCATTTATTATGATTTGAATATTTATGGAAGATGAATATGGTTCATTAATTATGATCAATACTTTATATTAGGAAACAATCAAAACTTCTATAAAATCACATATTAATCAAATGAAATGGACGGTTGAGATTGAGTTGTATTGGTTGCACAAATATCATGGGTTGTATAATAACCAACCTCTCTCTCTCTCTCTCTCTCTCTCTATATATATATATATATATATATATAGTTTGTTTCAAATACAACATTTTGCATTTGTACAACCAATGCAACTCAATAAATTGAGATATTTATGGAAATGATGAGAGTTCATTTATTATGATTTGAATATTTATGGAAGATGAATATGGTTCATTAATTATGATCAATACTTTATATTAGGAAACAATCAAAACTTCTATAAAATCACATATTAATCAAATGATATATATATATATATATATATAGGATCGATCAAATGCAAACCATCCAATTTGTACAAACCGTGTAAACAATCAGAATTTTTCTATATGTATATAGATGCACGTTCAAATGAAAATCGTTCAATTCTTAGAAACCGTGTAAACTAATTTCGACTAATAGAAAAATTCTATTTTTTTAATTAAATTTAATCATTAAGGATATATTGGTCATTTGCATTATTTTCTATTAAATATGCAAGTTATTAATAAATCTTAATTAAGGTAACATAATAAAGAAAATTTTATAAATGGTAACATTTAAATACTTAATTAAATTATAATATTAAAAATTGGATTTTGTTATATTGTGTCTTGGTTTATTATTGGCAAGATTCATAAAAATTGTAAGTTATTAGATTAATAAATCCATGAAATCAGTAATAGAATAAAAATATATATTCATGAGATCGGTTTTATATATGGTGAAATTGGTGCATGAAGTAGGTGAAAATGATTATGGAATGAGTGCATGATGAAACTGGGTGCATGAAGTAAGTGAAAATGATTATGAAATGAATGCATAATGAAATGGGTACAACATAAAATGGGTGCATCATGAAATTGTTTTTTTTTTGTTTTTTGGATGATTTTGTTTACTTAATGGTTAACAAAGCATATAATGGTAAATGCATTGACTCTATGAAACGTGTTCGTATTGGAAGAAATTGGCTGATGAAATGAGTGCATAAAGAAAGTGAAACCATTTCATAATTGATAAGAAAATGCTGTGTAATTAGCGAACAGTGAAACAATTTCATTATCGATGAAATTGTTTCATTTTTTTTAATTTTCTTTGGATTATTTTCTTTACTTAATGGTTAACAAAACATGTAATGGTAAATGTATTGACGCTATGAAACGTGTTCGGATTGAAAAAAAATTGCCGATGAAATGGTTGCATAACGAAAATGAAACCATTTCATAATTGCTAAGAAAATGTTATGTAATTAGCGAACAGTAAAACAATTTCATAATCAGATTGAAACAGATCCATCTACCAATAACATGAAAATGACAAATGTCTCATCTAGCATTACATTGATTTGTATATTGATTAAACTGTGAAACCATTTCGTTCATGAAATGTAGTAGTAAATTATTGTTATTATTATTATTATTCACAAGGTTTCATTATATTAAATTGATTATAATGTGTTTTATTTTTATTGTTGATCTATTTTAATGATGAATGTAATTTTATTTATAATATATAAGAATGTGAGAATATATAAGAAAACTTTAGTCACGGTGAGCCGAAAGAAAATCTTTGTGATCCATCGTTTGTAGTCGTTGTCGATGCACATGTCACGTTTTTTCACTGATTGCGTTTAAATTATTGAATCATACGATTATTTTGGTGTCAGGAAGAAAAGATGAGTTCAACAACATAACATGCTTCGCTCGATGACCATTTTGCTGGATTCGTTGTTAAAAACAAGAACATTTCAGGAAAAGAACTTATCTGAGACGACATTGATCATGCTTATTGATGGCTACAAACGCCTACTCTTGTACTGTTGGGTGTTGGGAAAGAACGGGAAGGACGATGAAGGTGCTGTTTTTTTATTAAATGGTTTTGTGCAGAATGATTAAGTACTCCGTAATGATTAAGAGGCTCTCATGATATAGTGCAAAATGAAATATAATTGTTTGGTAATTGCTTACAATGAAATTATGGCGCTGAATGGTTAAAAGGGGCGTATGATACAAAATCATTCAGAGGGTTTTAGAATCATTAAGAAACATATTTTTTGTTGTCAAACAAGATTCACCTCTTAATGATTGAGAGACTCTCTTTTAATGGAACTATTAAGAAGTAAACAAACAACCTCGAAGATTTTAATTGGGTTTAACTATTAAAGGGGAAAAGAGTACATAAAATGTAAATATCTTTATGATCAAGTTTAATTGGGTTGAAGACTAATTTTAGATTAAAAAAAAAATACATATCATTAACCACGTCAGCAAATTATACTGAGTTGGATACCACATCAGAATGATAACCGATTAATGCTTCAACCAGTTACCCGGGTACTTGTTTAAGACTTTACATCTTAGGTACCAAAATAAAAGTTTTTGAAAATACGTTACCAGAAATAAAAATCAAGTTAATGTACATTACTTCCTTTGATTTATCGTTTTTTAAATAATGAAGTTTTGGGACCAAATCCATAGTAATATTTATCAATATGTACAAAACCCTCGTGGGGTTAACTTAACTGACAATAAGATTTAGGTTTTTAAAAATTCTTCTAAGAAGTCATCAGTTCGACTCCTACAAGACCACTAGAGATTTTTCTGGTTCTTCAAAACCTTGATATTAATCAAGGTTCATACAAATCAGCCTCAACCCCCATAATTAACAAAGTACTAAATCCATAACTTGCATAAACAAACATTTATTACATAAATGTTAAAAAAGGTATAAATACCCTAAAAGGAAATAAATGCATTGACATTATTATTGCCATAAAGGACTATTTGACTTAGTCAAGTGACATTTTGGTCATTTTACCCAAACCCCTCGCCATAATTATGAATTCTAATTGGTCGAATATTAATTTTAGATTAAAAAAATATTAATGTGGTTAATAATACTGAGTTGGATACCACATCAGCATGATAACTGGTTAATGCTTTAACCGGGTACTTAAATGCTTACAACTTTACATCTTAGGTACCAAAATGGAAGTTTTAAAACTACGCTACCTAAAATAGGAATCAAGTCAAAATACGTTACTTAATATTTCTATGGACTCAAACTCACGATCAATTAACTCGTTTATAGGCTCGAGGTTAATATTTTTTTTTTATCTTTACTGTATGATTTATGAACATGTTTGGCTCGAAAAAAAACTGCTTGATCAAATGGATTGGCTCGACTCGAATAGTTTAATCGAGTTTTTGAACGAGTCGAGTCGGGTCGAACATTGGTGTTATAAGTCCAACTCGTTAAGTTAAACGGGTTTTATTTCGTGTTCGAGATCGACTCGAACTCCAAAATTATCAAGCTCGAATAGTTCGTTAAAAGCTCGACTGGTTTACACCCCTACCGATAACCGAACATTTTTTATTAAATTATTAATATTATTTTTGTGAAAGAGAAACGGTATTGGGAGGTTTCTGAAGAATCGTCTTAATTGCACCCCCCATATCCTCACCTGTAAATTCATGCACACCTCCTCTTTCTTAAACCCTTCACCCACCCACCTTTCATCTTCATCTTCACCATCTTCATCCTCCATCTCTCTGTTCATCAATGGAGTTTTCTTCATCCACCATCGTCTTCACTTCACTTTCTCTCTTATCCTTCATCTTCATCTTTCGCCGTTTCAAATCTAACCGTCTCAACCTCCCTCCAGGCCCTCCCGGTTATCCGATCGTCGGAAATCTCTTCCAAGTCGCCGGCTCCGGCAAACCCTTCTTCCAATACGTCAGAGAATTATTACCCATATACGGTCCCATTCTTACTCTCAAAATGGGTACCCGAACCATGATCATTTTATCCCAGGCTGATTTAGTTCACGAAGCTTTAATCGAAAAGGGTCAGGTTTTTGCGACCCGACCCGCCGAGAATCCGACTCGTGGTGTGTTCAGTTGCAACAAGTTCACGGTCAACGCCGCCGTGTATGGGCCGGTGTGGCGGTCGTTGCGACGGAATATGGTTCAGAATGCGCTTAGTGCGAGTAAATTAAGGACTTTTAAAGATGTGAGGATGACCGCCATGGATAAGCTTGTGGAGAGGTTGAAGATGGAGGCGGAGATGAATAACGGCGTCGTTTTGGTGCTGAAGAATGCGAGGTTTGCGGTGTTCTGTATTCTTCTTGCGATGTGTTTTGGTGTGGAGATGGGGGAAGAGACGATTGAGAAAATTGACGAGATGATGAAAAGGGTTTTGATTACGTTGGATCCGCGATTAGATGATTATCTGCCGATTTTGCGACCGTTTTTCGCGAAGCAACGGAGGAAAGCCATGGAGGTTCGCGAGCAGCAGATCGCGATGTTGGTTCCGTGGATCGAACGCCGTCGTAAGGCGATTCGGAACCTGGGTTCGGATCCGACCGCGGCGGAGTTTTCGTACCTCGATACGTTGTTTGATTTAACGGTGGAGGGACGGAAAGATCCACCGACCAATGCGGAGATCGTGACGTTGTGTTCGGAGTTTCTCAACGGCGGCACCGATACCACAGCGACAGCGATCGAATGGGCGATTGCGAGGTTTATCGAAAACCCCAACATTCAATCTCGCCTCTACGACGAAATCAAATCCGTCGCGGGCGAGAAAAAAGTCGACGAGAAAGACGTCGAGAAAATGCCGTACTTGAATGCCGTCGTAAAAGAGTTGTTACGACGTCACCCACCGACGTATTTCTCGTTGACTCATTCCGTCATCGAGCCAGCGAAACTCGCCGGTTATGATATTCCGACGGGAACCAACGTGGAGATATACCTTCCTGGAATCGGAGAGGATCCGAAACTTTGGAACAACCCGAATATGTTCGATCCAGATAGGTTTCTCTCCGGCGGCGAAAGTGCAGATATGACAGGTGTCACTGGAGTAAAGATGATACCGTTTGGAGTTGGCCGGAGAATCTGTCCAGGGCTGAGCATGGCGACGGTGCATGTGAGCTTGATGATTGCTCGGATGGTTCAAGAATTCGAATGGCGGTCGTCGCCGGAAAACACGAAGGTGGATTTCGGCGAGAAATTGGAGTTCACGGTGGTGATGAAAACCAGTCTCCGAGCGACGATCAAGACTAGGGTTTGAGGTTGAGGATGACGTTACGGTATTAATTTAAGTTTGATGTATTTTTTTTTATTATATATTTTATTTTTGTAATTTTGAATTTTGTTTGTATTTCTTTTTCTATTGTTCCATATTTTATATTTAATATTAAATTAAGGGAAATTAATTAAAATAACTATTTTCGACTTGTGGTTTTCCTTCTTGTTCATTTCTCTCCTAAAATCACTAAAATGCCGTTATCGCTATAAGTGGCATGTTTACAATTTGTGAAGGGGTTAAAGTGTAAATAAAAAGTAAGTTTTTGAATCAAGTTATAAGTGTAGGGACTAAATATGTAAATAAGATATAAGAGAACACGTAAAATTGTGATGACGATGAGAACTTGTATATCATGTGTTATTTCATATGATTTTTTTTTTTTCATGTAAGACTTGGATTTAGAATAATAATATTACATATATTTGTTTCGTAAGGTGTTTGTTTTGCATGTACTCGGTTCACAATGTGAACATGTTTTACGTGCTTATGTAACAAGAAATACACGTAAAAGAGTTTCATATTCTGAACCGAATATATATGAAACAAACATGTTGTGAAACATGTATATGTTAATTAATACATTAAATACTATATTTAGACGGAAAATGATCATGTGAAACAAAACTTTAAGGTAAAAGTTCTCATAGATCTCATAAATTTTGAAGTTCTCAAATGATTAAGCCACATAAGTGCCATTTGCGGAGGTGTTGGGACTACTTTATAGATTTGGTTCCTAGATTTGTGGGTCTGGTTCAGAAACTTCTTTTTTTCCCTACACTTTGACCCTTTCGCAAGTTGAGAAGGTGCCACTTGTAGATCTGGTGACGTTTTTGAAATACCGAGAAGAAATGACTAAGGGATGAAATGAATATCTGAAACTGGTTATTTTTAATTATATTTCATATTTTAATATCTAAAAGTATCAAAAATAACATAAAGATAGACACTATAACAAAATTGGCTTTATAGGACGTCTATATTGTATAAGCTTCCTATGAGAGAACTTAATAAAACTTAGGTTTATGGAACTAAACCATAAAAAGTATTATCTAAAACATTTACAATAGGTTTACAAGACGTTTTTAGACATTTTAACACGTCTTTTAAAATATTTTTTTAATTAAGTGTCTTATTAACTATTTTATAGAGCATTTTTGAGAAGTAACTTGTAAACATATATTTTTATAGGACAATTTTTCAAATAATGTCGTATAAAATTGGTTAGCCCAACACTTTATTTTAAAAATCAATTTTGTTGTAGTGGGAGTAAATTACATTTTTGCCCCTATAATTATCATTCAGTATTTGTCCAATATTTTAAAGAATTTACATTTTACATTTTTGGGTACAAAATGTGGTCCAGAAATCTGTTTGGAAGCATTTAATGTGATGGTGGAATAAATAAGTGAAACAAATTATATCTCATTATTTTTTTTTATGTCTGATTCATTAAGAAGTATTATTATTTAGATTGTTTGTTTTTTTCCAAATTTCAGATGCACTTATATTTTATTGTCCTCTTATTTGATAAGAGGTAAACCGACATCTTATTTGTCTCTTATTGTTCTTGAAACCTTTAGCAATAACGTTTTCTCAATCGATTAATCTTAATTAATCATTTCTCTCAATTGATCATTACCATCGATCCTCACATCTCTCAATTGGTGTATTTTAATAGGATATAAATGTATTAAATATTGTTTTTTGATATATTTTCGTTTAAATGAATGCTAATTATATAATTTAAATATAAATTTCGCAATGATAATAAATAAATATGTGAAACTGTATAAATTTATCTATAAATTTAACATCATAATTTTCTAATCGATAAAATAAACAATTTAAATAAATCAATACAGTAATCAGTTTACAAAAACAAACAATCTTCTTGATTTAGATTTCAGACTTCAGCATCGCCTCTTATTTAATCAGAAGTGAAATAATACTTCAGACTTCAACACCTCATAAAAAACAAACACCACTTAAATATTAACAAAACAAGTCAACCCAATAGTCATAATGCTCTTTTAATAATGTTGTTGGAAGTTTTTAGGTTTTACAATTAATCATCAAACTCATCTTTTCTTGGTTAATATTAAAACAAAAGTTTAAAAAAAGCTTCCTCCTTTTATAAAACACACACACACACACACACATATATATATATATATATATATACACTTATTATAAATTATTAAAAAAAACTCTTATAAATCATTTTTTTATCTGTAAAGTACTATTTATTTATGCATATTACTTAAATTCAAGATCACAAGTAAATTGTGCGTAAGTACAACTTATTAAAGCTTCAATTTTGAATTTGTGTAACTAAATATAGATAAACATAATCAAATACGAGATAGACATATCATTTTGAATATAAAAAAACTACAATATAATTAGAATAATCATAGGTTATAACAAAATACTTAGATTATTATCTTTAAATAAATTATATTATCAAACGATAAATAAATTACTTCGTTATTAAATCTAAATTAAAGTATAATTAAAATATTAAATTAAAATATTACACAAAAAACCATAACTTTAATAGTAAATTTGATACTAATATCGATATATATTTTTTCCAAAATTTTATGATATATTTAAGTTTATATTTAACTCAAAAATAAAAACATTATCGCTTTCTCAAAACCATTAAAAACTGTACTATATCAACATAGATAAATAATAAAACCGAAACATTAAAATTGAGATGTATCTCACTATATTATGCGAGCACTGTTCCAGTTCTGTTTAAATACGTAAAAACGGGCTTTTCAAACGCTTGTTTCTAGAAGGTAGAAAACAGCTTTAATATTCCTTATATGTAAAAAAAGCAAAACATGGACATGACATTGTGAAGTGAACTATCAACGTCAATCGGGAGCAATGTTGTCAGTGAGCACGAGAGTCTCGTTAAGTTGGTCGATATTTCAGATAAAAATCAATTATAGACGGTCAAAACATTATTTACCAGTGTTGATAGGGGCATTTTAGTAATTTTCATAGTTTATAATTTATACTTTATATGTGTTATTTCTCACATCTTCACTCTAAATAATTTCAATTTAATTTAAAAATCTAGCTTTTAAACATTGTTGAATTCAAAGGGTAATTTGGTCATGTAATTATTCATTACTTCAAAGTATATAGTCTTAAATGCTTTAATTTGAAGTTATTGTAGAAATTCAAAGTCAATGGTCAACACTTAAAACTTTTAATACTAGATGGATCATTTAATGTAGTACAAGTAATTGTGAAATAAGAGTACAACTTGCTATGTGAGCTGATTAATTTCAGGACGATTACTTATTTTGGGGTAGTCCAGAGTCACTATATTTGAACCTCCGTGGTTACAAGGGGATTTTTATTCTTTCTTGGATTTGAACATAAGACCTGCAGACACTTTTGATCTTTGTACGGGTCATAGTTCATCGATTTTCGAGTATTAGTGCATGAGATCAATCTCCATATCAAGTGCAATTCATGGGATGTCCGTAACAGGTGCATGGATTCCTGAAGAGGGGTTTGACCATGCTTGGACCACACACAATCGATTCAAATTATATGGTGATTCGATAATCCCTACCATAGGAAGATCTTATAACATCTCAAGATGTCAAACATTCTATACGTAAATACATGATACGAAATGTGTATTTATATGCATGAAAACCATGACCTTACTAAGTTATTGTGACGACTATTAGTATACAAGACAGGGGCACATTATCGGTGATGGACGATGAAAAGGGTAAATTCTAGATTATTAGACTTATTTCTGTATGGTTTGTGTGTCTAGTTTGGTATGAGATTATTGCAGTATTTTGAGTACTGTATTTTACGTTAAGATTTTGCTTACAAGGGTTGTTTTTCAGTAGAATCTGGATGATTGATATCGAGGAATTCAAATATGATTGTATGGCTTTTAGAGTGATCCCAGTCAAGTGTTTGTTATAGTTACCAAATGGCCTTTGGCCTAATGGTATCGTAGTCTTTGGTCTTCTAGGAAGTCAAATGTTCAAACCTCACCAAAAGTGAGGAGGGTGTGTAAGTTTATTTGTTGCATTTACCCGTATATAAATATTAAATACTTCAAAAAAATGGTTATAAAGACTTGATCATTTTGAAAAATCTAAAATTTGTGAGACCCTGAGATCTTCTACCTTAAGGTTTTGTTTCACATGATCTTTTTTTCATTCAAATACAGAATTTAATGCATTGATTAGCATATATTTGTTTCACAATGTGTTTGATGCATATGTATTCGGTTCATATATATGATTTTTGTTTTTCAATTTCAATCGTTTTCTTTAAAGTTAAAAGTAATAATAATTGAATTAAAAAATTGTAATAAATGAAGTATCAAATGAGTATTGGATTAAGCATAGAAACAACTTCATTTCACCTAACATGCTTAGTTTAATGGATTCTTGTACAAGTGTTAGTTCTTAAAATTCAACAAAACAATAATATATATATATAATATATATATATATATATATAGATGGTTTATTATGTAACCCTTTACATTTGTACAACCAATACAACTCAATCTTAACCGTCTATTTAATTTGATGAATATGTGATTTTATAAAAGTTTTGATTGTTTCGTAATATAAAGTACTGATCATAATTAATGAACCCTAGTCATTCTACATAAATATTCAAATCATAATAAACGAACTCTTATCATTTCCATAAATATCTCAATTGATTGGGTTGCACTGGTTATATAAATGTAATGAGTTGTATTTGAAACATCCTCTCTCCCTTTCTCTTTATATATATATATATATATATATATATATATATATATGATAATAATTAAATGAGAACAATAAAAAGATTACAAGCCAATAAGAAGTGATATACAAGTATTTTAACATGATTGTTGTTCATCAAAGATTATTATTTTAGCTATTGTTTTACATATGTTTGTGTTCATATGATGAAAAAATTCATGCATAACTTTTTTTTGATTCATTTAGTGAAACGAAAAATATACTAAAAAAAGTTTCACATTGTGAAAC